TGCGTATGCATATATATGTGTGTGTATGCGTATGCATATATATGTGTATGCGTATGCATATATATGTGTGTGTATGCGTATGCATATATATGTGTGCGTATGCATATATATGTGTGCGTATGCATATATATGTGTGCGTATGCATATATATGTGTGCGTATGCATATATATGTACGCGTATGCATATATATGTACGTGTATGCATATATACTGTGTGCGTACGTGTATGCATATATACTGTGTGCGTACGTGTATGCATATATACTGTGTGTGTGTGTATGCATATATACTGTGTGTGTGTGTATGCATACGTGTGTGTGTGTATGCATATATATATCTGTGTGTGTATGCATATATATATATCTGTGTGTGTATGCATATATATATATATGTGTGTGTATGCATATATATGTGTGTATATATATATATACAGTATGTGTGTGTGTGTGTGTGTGTGTGTGTGTGTGTGTGTGTGTGTGTTAACATATACAGTGTGTGTGTGTGTATATATATATATATATATATACACACACACAACAGTCATCTCCCTCACCTGTTAAGGTGACGAGTCTGCATACAGACAGGGGACTCTGATGAATACCCTCAAAATTGTGGCGATCAGTGTGGACTTCAGAGGGGGACCCCTACACTGCCCCCCATCTCCATACTGAACAACTCTGTGTCCGCTATGGAGACCTTCAGGTTTCTGGGATCCACAATCTCCCAGGACCTAGTGGGTGTCCAACATCGACACAATCATCAAAAAGGCCCAGCAGAAGATATACTTGTACCTGTACCAAAACGGATCTTTCTTTAGCAGATAATAGTGTGTTCATGTAGAACCGTGTTCTTTGTAATAAGAAGCTGATGCGAAATAGGTTTTCAAATTGTTTAGATTGATGTTGGGGTTGCACTATAATAACCTTCTGCTGCCTCTTTGATGATCCAATAAGTCAGGTTTGTTTGCCCTTGACTTATCTGAACCCCTCCCACCAGTCACCCGCAGCCTCCCCATTGTTATCTGTATGCAGACACACAGCCAGGTCTGAAAGTCAATGTGCCGTTTCAGGATCCAATTTTCATGGATATAACTATTGATCTCCTCGGCCTGTACATATGCTCATGAATATTTACGAAGTTGGTAGGCCTAGCAAATAACCTTAGAAGTCAGGCTCAAAGGCAACAGATAACAGTCATAAATAGAGAATGTTTATGAATTTGCCAAATTTGCATTTGGGATTATATACGTGTCAGAAACAGGTCATGCTTTGCTGTCACACCTCTGAGCCCCAGTCCATTGTCAGTAAACAACCTTCCCAAAGCTACTTATTACTTTTGTATATATTCATAAAACATGTCATGTCTTTGTTTAAAAACACACAGCAAGCATGGTAGAGCCGAGCAGAGCAGATAATGACAGGACAGGAAACGTGTTGGTGTTGGTCTGTGTGTAAGTGAGCGCGGAAGGGCCTAATATGCAAACGTATAGAAACGCAAATATATATATTAAACATTAATATTCGTTCTACTTGTTTGGTTTTGCAGCTTGTGTGTGTGAACAATGAACTTCTGTCTTCTCTCTCTCTCTAACAGTTACATCTTCAGACTGAGTTGTACGCGGTTGGGCCAGTGGGCCATCGGCTATGTGACCAATGACAGCAACATACTGCAGACCATCCCCCACAACAAACCGCTGTTCCAGGCCCTCATTGATGGCTACAGGGAGGGCTTGTACGTAACCTATCATATACTCACACACACTCTCTTCCTCTCTAGCTCACTCTCTCTTTGTATATTGATCAGTTGTGCTAAACTCTACTCTGTTAATGTGCTGTATCCAATTGAAATACGATCAACTGTGTCTCAATCAGTCACATCTGTTTTGCATGGTCTTCAAATGTCTCTCACCAGACCAGAGTGTGGTGCCTCTTGAAGGCTCTTTTCTGAAAGCCACTTCCTAGGTAAAACATGTATTTTTTTAAACTATCATACCTGATAGTTTAACAGGACCCCAGACAAATCAAACATGCTTTCCTCCATCTAGTGTGTAGCATTTCGCTTTCTCAGCCATCAATCATAGCTGGCTGAGACTGTGTCTTCTTACAAGTCCACTGTAGAGGGAGTGAGTGAGGGAGGGAGGGAGGGAGGGAGGGGGGGTTGAAGCACCTCTGTTTTTGATCAAGCAGGGAGACGGCAGAAACTCTGGGGGAAGTTAAGTTCACATCAGTCGCTCTTTCAAATGTCAATCATTGTGTTTATAACCGGGCTTGTAAATGCTGAGTTCATTTTCAACAATGACTGTAATTGGAGAAGGGTTTCTGCTCAGTTCTGTAATAATTGCTGATTACTTTTGATTCCATGCAGAGAGAGATATTACGAACTCATATATTTTTTTTGTACATTTAAGACCGATAGTGATTTTGTTTTCTGTAACATCTAATCATATTTTGTGTCAGTTAGAAGTGAGGATTCAGTAATGTCTCTGTAAGCATTCAAAGTAAAACTATTACTGTTACTGCTTTTGGTTCTACTACTCATTGTGAGTATTTGTGTTTCATCGGATTCAAGTTTAATTTGTTGTCATGCAACACAAGGTTGCACATTTCTGAGATATTTACACGTTTGCATGTGTAGAATATCTTGCTGTGTGTTTGTTACTCTTAGCTTAATTAAACCTTCTTTTTTTTTCATTCGCAGCTACTTGTTTCCTGATGGTCGCAGTTACAATCCTGACCTCACTGGTTTATGTGAGCCAACGCCTCATGATCACATCAAAGTGACACAAGTGGGTTTGTTTGTGTGTCTAAAAAACGTACTCCATCTGGATAAGCAGAGTAATGTTCATGGTTCCCACTGGTCATGGAATTCCTTAGCCTCCCAAAGCCAGAATACATCATGTAAGCTTAGGCTCCCTTATGACTTTTAAGTGTGGAAACTGTTTACTGAGACCTGTCTGAACTTCACCAAATATGTTGCAGATCAAAAAAAGAGACATGAAATGTGTTGTGAAATGTATTTATACAGTTTAAAGTTACAGGGACAGCATTATTAGACATTTCTGTAAATGTGCCAGTTCAGCCAGGTTGGCTAATTTCCCACTCTAGCTCCAGGGCAGATGTAGCGACAGCTACAAACATGTAGCACATGAAATCCACCAATTCAGGAACAGCGTTACTTAGATCAAAACACACTTCTCAAAAACACATCAAATTTAGCAATCATCCTACTCCATTTCTTTTTTTTGTCTCAAGTGTTTTCAGAAAGGGATCTCTGTGCTCAGTGAGGCTTGAACTTGATGATATTTCCAGAAGTGCCATCACAGTTTAAAAATGACCAGTGATAGCGTAGCTAGTGGTGTGTTCATCCAATCAGTTGTAGTGTTGATGTTTCAGAGAAATCATTTTGTGTTTTACTGTCCACCTACTATTAATTATTAATGATGTCTGTCTTAAGCATATTTCTATAAGGCTGACAGGATGATAATATGCAAAGAGAAAATGTTCAGCTACGGTTGTGTGGCTGGGAATTTCTGATTTTGTGACATTTTGAGAAGTTTATTCCCAGCAGAGAGAGTCGGTGAACACGAGAGGATTTTAGATATGGATATATAAATTGTTTTCATATGATTTTTTTGCAGAGATTTTACCTTAACTGAGTTGAAAATTAGACCATTCACCCCTTTTGACAGCAGTATTAACCTCAACAATTTAAGGTCATAGAATTAAGAATTTAAAACCGAAAACAATGACGTACAAACCAAACCGTAAGCCTGTTGAGCCGTTGCATCACTACTTAATGTGGTCAGCACTGGGCATTATCACAATACACTTTGGGGGGTAAAGTATTAATTATGTGTATATGGATTCTAGTTGTCGAGATTAGCCATGATAAGAGCTGGTTGAATTCTCTAAAAGCTAAGGAAATCTCCGTTAGCATAGGGAACACTGGACCATCTGTTACCAAGGGAAAGGAGTTAATGCCTTCAACAATTCCTTGTGTCAGCAACATTTAAAGCGACGCGCCATTCGTCCGTTCACTAAAACAATCAACATGACCAACAACCAATTTGTTTCTGTTTTGTGACTGTTAGTCTACATTCCTTTTTTGATTTAAATTCCAACATGGGTAATGAAGTCAACGAAACAAATTACGTACACATGGTACACGTGCTGTTAGTTGTTCATCTTTGAAACATTGTAGTTTCACTACGGCAGATCCATGTCAATGACAGCCACCTTTGCATCATTTTCGTAGCCTAGATAAGTGCTGTCGCATTCTCTCAGCGCAGCGGTTGTCTTTTGTTAAGTCCTAAGAAGAAGTACATTAAGCATTCATCATTTTAACTCTATGGTCATAACAGCTTAACCTTTTGTGCAACACTATTTAAATCATCCAGGATATGTTTTTCAAAATGTCAGTTTAGTTGTTAGGTTTCTAAACATTTCTCCAGACCTCTGGAGGGTTGGGTCCGGTTCTTTATTAGTGATGGGAGTTCAACATTATGGCGTGGCATGGTGGGACGCTTGCACTGTATGTATACTGTATTTGTGTCTTTATATTTTTGTGTATGTTCTCTTGTATAGTTTGATACGTGCATCACTTGATGACTAACAGCAGTTTGCTCTGCCTGAACAGGAGCAGTATGAGCTGTACTGTGAGATGGGCTCCACCTTCCAGCTTTGCAAGATTTGTGCTGAGAACGACAAAGACGTCAAGATCGAACCCTGCGGTCACCTTATGTGTACTTCCTGTCTAACGGCCTGGCAGGTATTGTAATGAACCATACTGCATAAACTCATTTCGAGATCTAATCTTTGAACATATAGGTGCATGGGGGCACAGGTGTGGTTGTTTGCAAATATTAAAGATGGTGCTTAATATCGATCAAATTTTAATCCATGAAATCATCAATAGATATTGATAATAACGGGTCACCAAAATTATGTAGGTGCTGTAGCCCAAAAAGGCATTCAAATGCATCAAAAGTAAGCTCAGCTGCTATTTTGAGTGATGAGTCCCAACAGTGGCTTTGGCCATTACACATGCACGTGGGATATTGTAGGTTAATGCCAGTCTCTGTACATCCTGATCATCACATCCTCTCTGTCTCTCTTTGCAATATTCTGTCCATGAAAACCTCACATGTGAGATCTGCCATTTTTTTCTCGCCAACAGTTTTTTAGAATTATTTACAAGTAGGATTGAATCTGGTTTTACAATTAATAAAAAATATAAATGAGAAAAGACGAATGAATAATAGAAGCAGCTTTCAGCCTCCAGTGCAAGTTACATGGTAAAAAGAAAAGAACTCCCTCCGTCCCTCACTTCCTCGCTGTGTCTTTGCGTCTGTCCTAATCAAATTTCCACATAACAGTCAGTAGCGGATGTGAAAACTGAGCGTGTGCACACAGTATATTCCAGTAATTCTGCATGTGTTTTTCTACTTCTGGCGGAGTGCTATTTTTTGTGACTTGTGCATCCCAGAGCACACTGTCCGGCACTGATGATGTGCTCATTGTGCTCAGAATCTGTGCCAGCAAAGTGTGTTTATAATTACCTTCCCCTGATGAGTCATTGGCATGGAGTCCAGAGACTCTATCCTCCATGGAAGATGATTCATAGGACAATGAGTCACGCTTTTATACATTCTTCAGTCAGTCAGTGCTATAATAGTTTCCATTTATCATGAGCCTTTAGTTTGCATTGTGTTAGTCAGAGGAGTTGATGTAAAAATGATGAAACACATACCATTCAAACATGTTCAAATGCATTGCACTTTATGTTTTGCTTACCAAACAGTGTCTTTTGATGCAAATGTGATAAGTCACTCCGGTAGCTTCTGTGATAAAGCAGTCAGGCTGTGCTGAAGTCACAGGAAGTCACACTCAGTGGTATTTTCGTAGATGTTTTGCTAATCTTCTAAAAAACAACAAACCTAAAACTCAAAGTATACCAAAACATTCAATCAAATGTTTTTGGTCACAATTATCACAAGAGTCCCTACAGGGGCTGCCAAGCATTAACTAAATGGAGATATATGGTCCACAGAATTTACGTTAAAGGTCTTGAAAAACTCTGATTTAAGTGTTTGAGCTTTTGGAGCACACACACACACACACACACACACACACACACACACTAGTGTTTGGCTTGCTGCTCTGTTCTCAAGAGGTTCATTTTCATGCCTATAAAGCTGGAAAGCTTTTTTTGGGTGGCTTTACTCTGAACATAGCTGTAGGTTTAGTAAATGAACACAGTCTTTCCAAAGTTCAGTCCTGTACTCTGTAAACCGTGGGACTTGGCAGCACCCGCATTACCAGTGTTTGTTCGTCATACTTCCTGTTATGACAACTCAAGTGACCCCGACCCCTCCACAACCCCAGTCAGTGATTGAGTGACGTCTGCCGGTGTGTGTGTGTGTGTGTGTGTGCTTCAAGAATGAAGTATTTTCCTACCCATTGATGACATAATGAGTCATAGAGAGAGGGAACCCTCCTACCCAATGGCAGTGAGTAACCCAGCACTGGTCAGTTCAGGTCATTGACTCAGTGGTGGTTCCCTATCTTTCCTCTCACTCTGTATATTAGTCAGCTGGGGTGGATCAGAAATACTCTCTTCACTCACAGCTGGCTGATGATCTATGTAATTCCACATCCTGTTTGTTTTTGATCTCTGCACAGTGTGAGAGGGTGCCCTTGTTCTAGCCATTGGCCATATGTCTGAATTCAACACTGTCCTGATGCAAATAGAGGCAGAATGTTTGGCTTTGAACCTTGTAATCTTTCCATATTTGGTGACTTTCTGGTAAACATCTAGACATCTGAGCAAACTTAACCCAACCTAAATGCTGCTCTAATCAATATCTTCATTTTAACAATGGATTAAATGACCATGTAAAAAAACAAAAACAAAGCAGGGGCACAATCTTAAGTCTGTCTTATCTGCCAAAATAAGCAGCAGATGTTTGTTTCACAAATTTGACTATTCACATTAAATCTGCAAATGGAGACCACATTGTATTGGTAGTAAACATGTCAAAATGTACAAATACAATGAACAGTAGCCTCCTTTGTTGCCCACAGATGACGTTCCCAGACTCCCTTAAAAAAAGAGCAGTTTTTCGAGTAAGGCTGTCTACATCAAATTTGTAATATTTTGTGCAGACTTGTAATTTCTGCATTAGATGTGAGATCTTTTCTTGTGTAAAAAACATGTCAGTTTGTCCTGACATGTTGCAGTACGGGCATAAAGGCTACTCTTTGTCTATAAATTCTGTGCCTTGTCAACAGCAATTAAAGATTAAAGTCAGATCCACAGATAAGTGCAGCCCACTTTGTCACACAGTTATTCTTTACTGTAAATCATTCATATATATTCATATTCATTATTTCACTCAATTCTGTTGAATAACACATCTCTGGATGCTTTCCTGGCACAGAATAGAAGGTTTAATCACTACCTCAAGGTGTGTTTCTCCAGCCGTCTCAGTTGCTCACTCTCTAAATTTGAACAGTAACCTATATTTGATGTTAACCAATGCATACAAACAATATGTATCAGTGTTGTACAAAAAGCTTTAGCTCTACTGAGCATTTTAGTATCTATTAGCTCATTGTTTTGGTTTTAAGGCTCACAACTTCTGTTCACTATTTAGTATTTAGCAGCTAAGGAGCCAAATATTTGAGAGTGGACATGATGGAGACCAAAACAGAACTAAAAAGAGAATTCATATTGGACTATTGCTAGGTGAATCCATTACCAATTACTTATTAAGTGAATGCTGTCATTGCTCACACTGTCTACTGGGTCGATAAATAGGCAACTGTTAGGGAACACATTCAAAATATTAACTTAATTAATATTAACTTTATGAAGTGATGATAGGACAATGTTGACAGCTTGTCTTCAAAGCAAAAAGCCAATGCAGGTTTAAGTGTTTAGACATCAAAATGACATATGATAGGAGGCCACTACAGTATATTTGAACATGTTAGTATAGTTCATTTGAAATAATGGTTATTTGTGAACTTGACATCTAAAAGTATTCATTGTTTAACTAGTTTAGCCCAGTTTTATACTTGACGTCTGGACATGTGCAAGTTGCTAAGTCAGGGGTGAGTATATCAACACCCTGTTGAACAAAAGGAAAGTATTCTATCTATCGCAGAGCAGAATGGATGGTGCTGGATGGTTTCCCCTTCACCATGAAAGAAGTTCAGGAGCAGTTTGTTTTAGGTTGTCTCTTCAATTGAGTCTGTTGCTAAACAGTATGGTTTTCTTCAGTGTTTATGACTATCACATAATCTCCTCCCCTGTCTGGGTTCCCTTCCTTTTAACCTCCCACTCCTTCCCTTCTCCACCCACTCTAATTAGGATTCAATTTCAAACATGCCTTGAGTGCGTCACGTGCCAAGTCCCCAACCATATGGCCCCCACAAACGCAGCTTTGTTCTCTGTAAATATTGCCTGCCTTTGATTGTAGCCCCTGAGTCAGTGGAGTGAGATACACTAAAAGCCAAAACCTCTATTATCCTCTTATTTATGACCCCTGTTTGACAGGAGCTGCCATGTGGAATATGTACATGTGGCCAATGAATGTTGTAAAGTTGCAAAACAGTTTTCCCTGGAGAGGATCTACACAAACGTGTCCAGTGTCCAGGGAAATGAGAGTAAGATACAAGGCACTAGTGCAGCGCATAACCTTAACCATGCGTATCCCAGCTGTGTACAGGAACCTCCTTCCTGCTTGACGGCCCAAGTGATTCCTCATGTTCTACGTTTATGGGGTCTATGGGGTTACCAATGTCACGCCACACCCTTGTCTGTGTGTGTTTTCTGGACATATCCTGTTTCATGCAAACTCTTTCCCTTATCTGTTGCAGGAATCGGATGGTCAGGGTTGTCCGTTCTGTCGTTGTGAGATCAAAGGCACAGAGCCCATCATTGTGGATCCCTTTGACCCACGCAATGAGGGTAACAGGTGCTTTTTCCTGGACCAGCACAGCTGCCCCTTGCTGGAGCTGGATGATGAGGAAGACCGAGAGGACTGCCTCGTCATGAATGGACTGGCCAACATCAGGAAGGTAAAGACTTGATCTATTGATGGGTAGGTTTTTTGTTTTGTTACTAGTAATACAGGAAAAAGTCCAGGGCCATTTTTCAATCAGGAGAGATTCATCATCAGATGAAGAACAGATAATAGTTTATCTTGACTGAGTCTGTGGTGCTTGGACTCTACAGGGAGATTTGTAATGGAGGGGCGTCTGCTCTGAGCAGCAGCAAGATACCCCCCCCGTGGAGTCCAGACACCACAGACATCATCAGCCACCACTCCTGGTGGTGGCTGATGATAGAATGAGTTGATGAATCTGATGACGATCGGGTGGAGATGGGGAGGTGGAGGGGTGTGTAACGGCACCATGAACGTACTGAAGGTAGAGAGACAATCATATTTAAAGAGACAGCAGCAAGATGATTGGCTAACCATGTCATTGTTTCATTGTGCTATTGGATAGAAGAGACCAGCTGATCTAAACAGCTGATATCATGATTGACAGCCTCGAACATTGACAGCAGGGAAATAATGAGTGTGATTGAAAGATGTATGAGAAATGAACTACAGGCTTAGGCATGCAAGAGTATAGTCTTCCTGTCTGAACTTATGCTGGAGCTTCATTTGTCAAACTTCTAAGAATTACACTTAATAATGCTCTAATGCATTTTTACGGGTAAAGAGTGCTTCACTGACTGAATAAGACACAAGGATTGACCCTACATGTACATCTGCCCCGTTGTCCATTATTTCCTTAATCCTGATGTTTAATTCATTGATATGTTATTCTGCAAAAACATGTGATTTTAAGCGATAAAAAGTATATTTTATTTGTGTGAAATCTTTAATATCTCTGGTATAAATTAAAACTTGAAATAAACTCCCCTCTAATATATTAACGATATATTACAGTATGGATTAGATAACAGGATGTTTGGAACAATGAGCAATTTCTGGTAGACAAGCTCCACTAGAGAAAAAATATAAGGAGAATTTAGAAACACATGAAAAGTGATACCAAACAAAATCAGTGCCATCTTTATTTTAGTTGTTTGCACTTCTGATGAATGCAAAAAATAAAATGTGGTAGTTTCCTATAAAATGTTAAAATCAAATAGATCTGCAAAAATTATATATAACATATCAGCTAACACATCAGTCATGATGACCAATGATTTTGTACAGTCAGTCCAGAACATGAATTATATGGTGTGCTCTCATCTCTGTTTCTGTACTCAAGTCATCTTGGTCTGCTCTTATTAAGACCCCTCTGAAGCTCTCTTTAATTTAAGAGCATTGGTCTTAAGGATTTGATCAAATACTTTTATTCTTAATTTTTAGTAAAAGTGAAAGATTTCTACTTTTATCTTTCACTTTCTACTTTTAGAATTTTACTTTTAGCAGTTGGACAAATACCAACAGCTCTTAAAAAGCTTCAAAAAAACAGCTGGTCCTAAATGACTAAACACCTGTTTAAGTACAGTATATGTAAAGCATGTACTTTTTCTTTCAGCACTGTGCAGAGCGTCAGAACTCGCCCATGGTGTCTCCCAGCTCTTCACCTGTCAACCAACACAGAAAGGTCCACGGAGGAGACCTCAGCCACTGTGTCCAGCACCTCGGCCTTCCCCCTGTCCCGCCACGACTCGACCTCATTCAGAAGGGCGCCATCCGCTCCCCATCCGCCAGTCCCACCGTCTCCCCGAAGGTCAGTCACAGCATTCGGCAGATCCAGAGAAACATGGTTTACTAATATTTTCTTGCTGATAATCACTTAAGTTATAACTAAAGTCATGAAAATTTAGAAAGTGCTTCACAGTATGGTTTGAACACAGGACACAAACACAGTTGTAGGTCGAAGGAAGAAACAACCCAACATTTAGGCTGCACAATGCCACAAATATCTTGATATATCATTATTTATTTATTTTATTATTTTATTACCAAGACATCATATTATGTGACAATTGTTATTCTGTGTAGCTGGTAGTAGCTGGTAGAGGTGGAAATGGTTTGTTCAAGGCCTAAAGTTACAGTTTTATATCTCACTCTCTAGCGTGCCATGAAGACATGTGACCATACCGAATACCAAAATCTTTGAATAAATAGCTTCTCTTCATGCTGTGGAATTGAACATTGGCAACATTTGATGTTATTTTTAACTTTTTGCTGTTTTGTTTTTAACGTCCAGTGTTTGTATCTTAATGTGGTGCTTGCATAGCACTTTTACACTGCGATCTGGGCCAGGACCCCCTCGTAAATGAGATTCAAAATCTCAATGGGATTATTCTGGGTAGCTAAAGGTTAAATAGTTTGATAAATAAATATTCTTTATTTACAACCTCAGTACATCTAGCTTCCACAAAACGTAGCTTGCTAGTCTTCCTGGATTTAACACAAAATCAATAATAAAACAGAAAAAAGTTTGGTGGGATTTAGAAATGAGTTGAGAATTATTTAGATTGTCTTCTGTCATTCTAGTGAACATACCATCTCTCCACCTCTCTAGTCTTCGCCAGGAATGTCCAGGAAGCAGGACAAGCCTCTCCCAGCCCCACCTCCTCCGCACAGGGACCCACCTCCACCGCCTCCCCCTGAGCGTCCTCCTCCCATCCCCCCAGAGTCACGTCACTCATGGCTCCCCGCTTCCTCTCCCTTGTCGTCTTCCATCTCATCTTCTACGGGCACGCTGTCAAACTCCCAAATGCACCCTGAGACACGGCTTCTCAAAGACAGTCACTTTGCAGATGCCCACAGGACTCGATCCGAGCACCCACTTCAGCTGGAATCCACAGGCACCTCTCACCTGAACGGAAGACCGCTCAGTTTCCCGTGTGCTGGATTTGGAAGGTTACATCACAGAATTGAGGGGCCAGGAACCTTAGAGAGCTCACAGGTAGGGCTTGGATATCAGTTTCAGGTGAAATCTTCGGATGAGTATGTAAAAGCCTATTTCTTTTTTTAAAATTGTTTTCTAAATCTATAACCATAAACTTTGTACAGACATTCATGCTTTTGAGAATCCTAATGACTTAGGGCGGTGGTTCACCCCTTAATGACAAGCCACGACCCAAATTA